ATAACAAGTAGCTTGAATTACCGTGCTCTGTTGAGGCTGGAATGAGAGGCACTAAGAATATGAAAGTAATTAATTCAAGAGCAATCCTCAAAACAAGTTATTAAACTAGCAGAGGCAGCCATTTTCGCTCTCCTCAAAAGTGAGGTGCTTGACAATGCCAAGGAACTAATCATTACTCTACTAAAGGGGTGCAACTCATTTGTCAAGGGGGCTGGTTTCAGATATGATTCAAAAGGCCAGATAATCATTGTTTATTAAATATCATTAAAAGGTTCAGTAAGCTTTGTGTGCGACCCGACCAAATGCACATACAAATTTGAGTTATAGATCTGACACTCATCGAAAGCAAGTCTTATAAGAGGTAGAGCCGTCCTATGCTTCCAGTCATTAAGTTTAGGTTTTGTACACCAGCTTCAAACAGCTGCGAAGATATTTTACAGCGTTTTAGATTGTACAATGATTCTCTACACTGCTTGTTTGGCCACAAACTGAAATTAGGCAAACATGATAGAATTTTACATATTGCGCCTAGGAATTTTCAATTCTCCCCGACTGCTTAGCTGACTCTGTATTAGAAATGTGACTGATACAACTCTGATGATGTACCCATTGATGGATTTATCAGTTCATTGATTGATGACACTTGCTTAGCCAACACTACCCAAGAGGAAATTACCCCAACCCACCTGTGAAAGACCTTATCTTCGAGATCTAAATCTACCTTCCCCCAGCGCTGACAGTAACACTATGTGTAAACACTGGTTCTGTCAACGGCTTGCATGCAAAGGTAACACGGGAAGCTGTGTCACACCAGCTGTGCAAGTGTCAGTCGGACTGCACTTCCTGTAGCAGGTTAGCATTTTTCGTCATGAATCTTGTTCTGAAGGCAGCTCTGCAGAGCTCTAGCTGGCACAGCCACAAAGTCATACAATCTGATTTTAAACCTAACCACACGGCTAACCCGAATGCCTAACCCCTAACCTTAAAGCACATTTTTGTTTCAATGAATTTGTAAAATATAGCCAATTTAGACTTTGCAGCTGGCCCATCTAGCGGAAATCACTCAGTTCTGCCTCCAGGGCAAGATTCATGACCATAAACGTCAACCTGCCTTCCTGTAACTGTTTTCACCGAATGGGGTAGGGTGGGGGGTGTCAAACAGAAAGCAGTCATCCCATATAGAACTGGACTAATATTCAGAAAAATAGTAAAGTGATCACCACAGACTTATAAAAAGATAATATCAAATACATACACTACCGTTCAAAAGTTTGGGGTCACTTAGAAATGTCCTTGTTTTCCATGAAAACATACATTAAATTAGTTTGAATAGGAAATATAGCAAAATGCATAGGACATGTAGTCATTGACAAGGTTAGAAATAATGATTTTTAATAGAAATAATAATTGTGTCCTTAACTTTGCTTTTCGTCAAAGAATCCTCAATTTTCAGCAATTACAGCCTTGCAGGCATTCCAGTTGTCAATTTGTTGAGGTAATCTGAATCTGAAGAGATTTCACCCCATGCTTCCTGAAGCACCTCCCACAAGTTGGATTGGCTTGATGGGCACTTCTTACGTACCATACGGTCAAGCTGCTCCCACAACAGCTCAATAGGGTTGAGATCCGGTGACTGTGCTGGCCACTCCATTAGACAGAATACCAGCTGACTGCTTCTTCCCTAAATAGTTATTGCGTAGTTTGGAGCTGTGCTTTGGGTCATTATCCTGTTGTATGAGGAAATTGGCTCCAATCAAGCGCCGTCCACAGGGTATGGCATTGCATTGCAAAATAGAGTGATAGCCTTCCTTCTTCAAGATCCCTTTTACCCTGTACAAATCTCCCACTTTACCACCACCAAAGCACCCCCAGACCATCACATTGCCTCCACCATGCTTGACAGATGGCATCAAGCACTCCTCCAGCATCTTTTCATTTGGTCTGCGTCTCACAAATGTTCTTCTTTGTGATCCGAACACCTCAAACTTCGATTCGTCTGTCCATAACACTTTTTTCCAATCTTCCTCTGTCCAGTGTTCTTTTGCCCATCTTAATCTTTTCTTTTTATTGGCCAGTCTGAGATATGGCTTTTTCTTTGCAACTCTGCCTAGAAGGTCAGCATCCCGGAGTCGCCTCTTCACTGTTGACGTTGAGACTGGTGTTTTGCGGGTACTATTTAATGAAGCTGCCAGTTGAGGACCTGTGAGGCGTCTGTTTCTCAAACTAGACACTAATGTATTTGTCCTCTTGCTCAGTTGTGCACCGGGCCTCCCATTCCTCTTTCTATTCTGGTTAGAGCCAGTTTGCGCTGTTCTGTGAAGGGAGTAGTACACAGCGTTGTACGAGATCTTCCGTTTCTTGGCAATTTCTCACATGGAATAGCCTTCATTTCTCAGAACAAGAATAGACTGACGATTTTCAGAAGAAAGTTATTTGTTTCGTAATTGCAAAAGGGTTTTCTAATGATCAATTAGCCTTTTAAAATGATAAACTTGGATTAGCAAACACAAAGTGCCATTGGAACACAGGACTGATGGTTGCTGATAATGGGTCTCTGTACGCCTATGTAGATATTTTATAAAAAATCTGCCGTTTCCAGCTACAATAGCCATTTACAACATTAAGTGTCTACACTGTATTTCTGATCAATTTGATGATAGCATTTACTGTTAAAGGGAAACAACAGCACAGTCTCAGCAGTGTAATCAGGGAGACTGCAGGTGTCTGATCAACACCACAGGACCAGTGCTACTTTCTGCATCTGAGCCTGAGACTCAAAGACGAGGCGAGCGACACAAGTGTGTAGCAAATTCACTGACTGAGGTATCTGTGTGAGGGAGAGACTAATGTATGTGTGTGTATGAGAGAGAGAGAGATCTCAAGCTCATTCCCAAGATACCGTTCCAACCATTAAACCACACAAATATTTTACACCTGCAAAACATTACCATGTCCTTGCAAGCCTAAATATTGTGGAGCAATATAATGCCTGAGATTCAGGTATTCTGCGTGAGCAACCTGAAAGAGGACCACATGCACGCACACACCCTAGGGCTGCACTATATGGGCCAAAAAATCTAATTGCGATTCTTTCTTTATTTTTTTATATAGAAATCATTGTTGTTTAGAACAATCTGCTGACAGGATTTGACCTAACAGTACAGCATGCAAACATAAAGAAGTCCTATTTTTTTTTTTACAACCAAATCTCTGTTTTTAATGTAAATAGCATGTTATTGAAGGGTCCAGACACCTTTTTTGTGATTTCACATTTGAGAAACTTACCCCAAACAGCAAATCACTTCCTCATCCTTGTTGTGTAGTATGGGGCCCCCAAAGAAACATGAAATTGTGTAATTCCAAACTTGATCTACAATGTTATATTCCCTTTTGCGCGACTTCAGCAGTTTTCCCTATCCAGCTTTTTCATTCTCCATGTAGCCTGCTGCTACAGGTAACTGCCAAAATAAAGGAAACACCAACATAAAGTGTCTTAATAGCGCGTTGGGCCACCACGAGCCGCCAGAACAGTTTCAATGCGCCTTGGTATAGATTCTACAAGTGTCTGGAACTTCCTGTGTGGAAGCACCCCATGCTTTCAATATACTTTGTATCCCTCATTTACTTTCCTTTATTTTGGCAGTTACCTGTAGAATGGAAGGAGATGTATAGCTCGAGTTGCAGCAAAATGGACTATACCGTTGCGGATAAAGTTCGGAATGACACAATTTCATGTGTACAACATCTAAAGACCTGCATCACTATTACTAAAAGGACATATTTGGGTGTTTTTGGAGCCTTTGCTCATGATTTTTCGGGGCCCCCATAATACACTTGCGACAATATTGCGATTTCGATTTGAATTTGATTAATTGTGCAGCCCTAACACACAGGCAGTGCCATTGATTAATATTGAGGGCTTTCAACCTGTCAGTCACTGGAGGCACTGTGAAATTGCTATAACAGCAGAGCTTTGTAATTATTTCTTGCGACAGTTAAAGGGCAGGAATCATGAGTTTTTACTAACCAAAGTAACACAGTGTAGTCATATACTTAGTATCTTAGTTGTAGTCACGATCTGGTTACCTATAACTACAAACAGTTATGTTTTGGGGGTTTTACATATTTAACCTATTTTCCCGAATATCTTCTAAAATAACCACAATGCAATATTTCACAACGTCATATGGAGAATCTACTCTGTGTTAGCTAGCTCGAGCTGATTAACGTTAGCCACTAGCCATGCAGACAGTGTTGGCAGTGGTGTGCTACAATCCACCAATCACGAAGAGTTGTGATCTAAACAACCAATCAGATTCCCCACAAGTGTGGGCCACATGATCTCCGTGAAGTAGGCTACCAGAGTTTTTCAACCTTGGCTTAGTACTAGCAGGCTACAGCAGCTGACTGACTGTGCTGTTGTGATCATTTCCATCTGCCTGGTGTCTTCCTCCGATCGCAGGCTAGTAGGGCTAATGTTAGCAGGCTAGTTGGCTAGCAACCTAACAAGCTGATTTGTAACAATACATTCGTAAAGTATTTGCTTGTAAGTTGGCTGAAAATTCAATAGAAACCAGTAGTCATGAGTGCAAATGATTTGGTTTAATTTGAAATTATACATTTGAAGTTACTTCTATTGGAGTTTACAATATAGGGAATAGGCTGGCTTGCCGGGTCCTCCATATTGCATCACACCCCGCAAAAATATTTTCCGGGATGACTCAAGCATTCTGATCGATTTTATGTAATAACTTGAAAAATAGAAAAGTGAGGTGTAACTTTGCATTGGGACTTCTGATGCGTATACTAATGCAAATCGATATGTTACACGTGGTTACGTTTATGCTACCTACCCTTTAAGAACGGGCCCAGTCTTTCTTCAAACTGAACCTCACCATTCTGAGGTGACCTCAAGTCAGTAGGAGTGATCAGTGAGACAGAAAAGAGGAAGAGAGAGGATGGAGATAAATGTGTGGGTAGAAGAGTGGAGGGTCTTACCTGTGCTGCCTAATGTTTTGTAAAACCGGTACTCCAAATGCAGCTGTGGTGCCCTTGACTTTATTGGTTCCTGGAAGAATAATACAAAAGGAATTCACTACACTTCAACAATAAGAATTACACCTACACTAAATATGAAAATTGAAATGAATTATCATTCAAACAAACAACTTTCAAATTAAAGGTTAAGAAATTCTATAATTAGCATGTAATTGACTATTTAAAACTTGTTTTTTGTGTGTGCCATTCCAAATCATGTCAAATCAATTGAATTTACCACATGTGGACTCCAATCAAGTTGTAGAAACATCTCAAGGATGATCAATGGGTCTGAATACTTATGTAAATAAGGTATCTGTTTTTTGTTTTAAATACATTTGTCCAAAAAATTAGAACCTTTGTCATTATGTGGTATTGTGTGTAGATTGATGAGGATTATTTATTTATTTAATCCATTTTAGAATAAGGCTATAACGTAACAAAATGTGGAAAAAGTGAAGGGGTCTGAATACTTTCCGAATGCACTATTTCTAATTTTTAGGCCCCCCATAGAAAAAATGTAGTCAGCTACATTGCCCAATGTTTTGCTTAATTAATCAGTTCTTAAATTAGTTAATCTTGCATTTTACCTGAGAAAAAAACGAGAAAGGTACAGGAGAAAAGTAGCTACACACCAGTCAGAGCGTTGTCTGCTGATAGAATGCCCTTTTCCTGAATTCTCATCCGAGTTTAGAAGTGCAACTGAAGCACAAAATTAGTCTGATGCCGAGCAGAAATTACAATAAGCATTTTAGATCTGCGTTTAGAAAACGCAGCAAGATATTTCTTATGCGTTTTATATTTTTTTCCTGCACGAAAAACATAGAATTCTGCGTTAGCAAGAATGTTATCTAAAGTAAGTGGCTGAATTAATAAGGTGACGGGGCATCATATTGTGTTAGCTTTCTGCCGTGTTTAAGAAGTCAAAGCCCTTTGGATAAGTTATTTGTACAGCTGCCACTGTTATCTTGATTTCCTTGAGTTTTTTATCCTGTCCATTCTCGGTCCGTCTGCTCCTGCCCCCTCTTTTCCGAGCAGAGCAGGCAGACCCATTGCCCTAGACTCCACACAGACACAGCGTGTAGACATGCTGCTCCAGAGGCAGTACTGTTCTTCCTTCAGACGAGCAAAACTTTGTCCATTTGCAATGTCTCTCGTTCAAATCGGCTTGCAAATGTCCAGTCACCAAAAACGACATTCGGTAGCTACTACCTATACATGTATAACTTTATGAGCTGGATTGCCTGTCTTTGCAATTCGTTTATTTTTGGTTGCGCTCGTTAGCATATGTAGCTAGCAGCCCCCATGGAAATTCGCTCTTACTTGTGCTTATTTTGTTAGCATTCTAGTAAGAGACGCCCAATAGGCTTTTTTATGTTTATGGCACCCCTTGTGTACTAAGCCGGTAATACCGTACATCCCATTGTGAGAGAAGGACAGTATGACGATATGAAAATAGTGCCCAACCCTAATAAGGCTCCATACTTACCAATTTTATTGCAACATACTCGTTGGTGTAGAGGTTTTTCCCTGGATAACATAAAAAAAAGGTTATTAGAAGGTTGGGTAAACAACTTATTTCTAACAGATGAGATGGCACATCCAGTGCAGCCACCAAGGAATATTTTAGGAGTCTTAAGGAACCATTTAAACTCCCATAGGTCTCGAAGACACATGCTTCACAAATAACAGTGATGACTGAACAAAGCATCTGGAAAGTCAGTGGTGTGTAAGGTTCGCATTGGACAGTTTTGAGGTGAGGAGGACAATAACCAGGGGCCTCTAATGCACCATTACGCATCTGCATATGGCTATTGTGCAATGCCATGTATTGCAGTTTTCTGTGAACCCCATCACTGGGTGCATGTCCTGCATAAAACTACCAATTTCAAATGAATTAACAAAGCAAAAGTAATTTTGTCCTCCATTTTCCTCGAATGATCTGTCTTTGATTGTAATAGGAGAGAATGTATGCCTCAATCACTCTAAGTCAGGGGAAGGCAACTAGACTCAGCCGCGGGCCGATTTTTGTCGGAGGGGATGGTCATGGGGGCCGGAACATAATTATAATAATTTACACACTGCAAATTGACGACAACTAAGCCCAAAATAATCATTTTATACCTTGAGACACGATCACATACAGTGCCTTCAGAAAGTATTCATACTTATTCCACATTGTGGTGTTATAGCCTGGATTCAAAATGGATTATATATATTTTTAAATCTCACCCATCTACACACAATACCCCATAATGACAAAGTGAAAACCTGTTTTTAGAAATGTTTTCACATTTACTGAAAATGAAATACAGATCCCAACAACCTGCCCGCTTGACCCCATCCCCTCCTCTCTTCTCCAGACCATCTCCGGTGACCTTCTCCCCTACCTCACCTCGCTGATCAACTCATCCTTGACCGCTGGCTATGTCCCTTCCGTCTTCAAGAGAGCGAGAGTTGCACCCCTTCTCAAAAAATCAACACTCGATCCCTCTGATGTCAACAACTACAGACCAGTATCCCTTCTTTCTTTTCTTTCCAAAACTATTGAGCGTGCCGTCTTTAGCCAACTCTCTTGCTATCGCTCTCAGAATGACCTTCTTGATCCAAACCAGTCAGGTTTCAGGACTGGTCATTCAACTGAGACTGCTCTTCTCTGTGTCACGGAGGCTCTCCGCACTGCTAAAGCTAACTCTCTCTCCTCTGCTCTTGTCCTTCTAGACCTGTCTGCTGCCTTTGATACTGTGAACCATCAGATCCTCCTCTCCACCCTCTCCGAGCTGGGCATCTCCGGCGCGGCTCACTCTTGGATTGCGTCCTACCTGACCGGTCGCTCCTACCAAGTGGCGTGGCGAGAAGCTGTCTCCGCACCACGTGCTCTCACCACTGGTGTCCCCCAGGGCTCAGTTCTAGGCCCTCTCCTATTCTCGCTATACACCAAGTCACTTGGCTCTGTCATATCCTCACATGGCCTCTCCTATCATTGCTACACTGACGATACACAACTAATCTTCTCCTTTCCCCCTTCTGATAACCAGGTGGCGAATCGCATCTCTGCATGTCTGGCAGACATATCAGTATGGATAACGGATCACCACCTCAAGCTGAACCTTGGCAAGACGGAGCTGCTCTTCCTCCCGGGGAAGGACTGCCCATTCCATGATCTCGCCATCACGGTTGACAACTCCGTTGTGTCCTCCTCCCAGAGTGCGAAGAGCCTTGGCGTGACCCTGGACAACACCCTGTCGTTCTCAGCTAACATCAAGGCGGTGACCCGATCCTGCAGGTTCATACTCTACAACATTCGGAGAGTACGACCCTGCCTTACACAGGAAGCGGCACAGGTCCTAATCCAGGCACTTGTCATCTCCCGTCTGGATTACTGCAACTCGCTGTTGGCTGGGCTCCCTGCCTGTGCCATTAAACCCCTACAACTCATCCAGAATGCCGCAGCCCGTCTGGTGTTCAACCTTCCCAAGTTCTCTCACGTCACCCCGCTCCTCCGCACACTCCACTGGCTTCCAGTTGAAGCTCGCATCCGTTACAAGACCATGGTGCTTGCCTATGGAGCTGTGAGGGGAACGGCACCGCCGTACCTTCAGGCTCTGATCAGTCCCTACACCCAGACGAGGGCATTGCGTTCATCCACCTCTGGCCTGCTGGCTCCCCTTCCTCTGCGGAAGCATAGTTCCCGCTCAGCCCAGTCAAAACTGTTCGCTGCTCTGGCACCCCAATGGTGGAACAAGCTCCCTCACGACGCCAGGACAGCGGAGTCACTCACCACCTTCCGGAGACATTTGAAACCCCACCTCTTTAAGGAATACCTGGGATAGGATAAAGTAATCCTTCTACCCCCCCCCCCAAAATTTTTATAATAATAAATAAATAAAATAAAAATTATAAAAAATTTGTAAAGTGGTTATCCCACTAGCTATAGGGTGAATGCACCAATTTGTAAGTCGCTCTGGATAAGAGCGTCTGCTAAATGACGTAAATGTAAATTTACATAAGTATTCACACCCGAGTCAATAATTGTAGAAGCACCTTTGGCAGCGAATACAGCTGTAAGTCTTTCTGGGTTAGTCTCTAAGAGCTTTGGACACCTGGACTGTGCAACATTTGCCCATTATTCTTTTCAAAATTCTTCAGCTTCAGTCCTGCCGAAAGGTGAATTCATCTCCCAGTGTCTGGTGGAAAGCAGACTGAACCAGGTTCTTCTAGGATTTTGCCTGTGCTTAACTCCATTCCATTTCTTTTTTATCCTGAAAAACTCCCCAGTCCTTAATGATTACAAGCATTCCCATAACATGATGCAGCCACCACTATGCTTGAAAATATGGGGTGTGGTACTCCGTAATGTGTTGTATTGGATTTGCCCCAAAGATAACACTTTTTATTCAAGACACTTTGTATTCAAGTTCATTTCTTTGGCACATTTCTTTGCAGTTTTACTTGACTGCCTTATTGCAAACAGGATGCATGTTTTAGAATAGTTATTCTGTACAGGCTTCTTTCTTTTCACTGTCAATTAGGTTAGTATTGTGGAGTAACTACAATGTTGTTGAGCCATCCTCAGTTCTCCCAGTTTACCCATCTACCAATAGGTGCCCTTCTTTGCGAGGCACTGGAAAACCTCCCTGGTCTTTGTAGTTGAATCTGTGTTTGAAATGTACTGCTCGACTGAGGGACCTTACAGATAATTGTATGTGTGGGGTACAGAGATGAAAACCATGTTCAACCCTATTGTTGCAAACAGAGTGAGTCCATGCAATTTATGTGAATTGTTAAGCAAATGTTTACTCCTGAACTTATTTAGGCTTGCCATAACAAAGGGGTTGAATACTTGACAAGACATTTAAGGTCTTCATTGTTAATAAAAATAAAACATAATTCCACTGACATTATGGGGTATTGTGTGTAGGCCAGTGACAAAACATCTCAATGTAATCCATTTTTAATTCAGGCTGTAACAACAAAATGTAGAAAAAGTCAAGGGGTGCATACTTTCTGAAGGCACTGTATGTCTCTTTTATTTGTGGGAATACTTGGTGAACAGATTTCCTAAATGAAACTCATTTTTAGATAAATTCCTGGTGATTTTTGTATTTTGAGTAAAAACAAAAAAATCCCTCCTATTATTAAATTATAATTTTTACTTTGGGGTGGACCCCCGAAAAAATCCCCCGGGCCGCCTGTTGCCGACCCCTGCTATAAGTGATATCGCAATACAAAAGGTGTCATCTGAGAGAAGTGAAGTGCGGCATAAATCCCCTAGCAGGCATGTGAAATTCAGCACCTTTGCGGGGCAAGCTGAGAATGAAAGTGCTGACGCCAACAGTGTGACAATAGGTAGGAAAGTGAGAACAAGGCTGGTGTTTTGATGCAATGATCCTGCGCAGAGCAGTGCAATGTTGTTTGTATAAGTGTGGGGGAATACGTAGGGCAGTGGGAGAATATGGTTCATTGTAGAATTCAAGTACTGTACTTAAAATACTACATAGAGTGAAACGATTATGCCTTTTGAAATGGACCATCAATGTCTTGAGATTCCAGACTTAAAATGTCAAAGTGGGCACAAGGTTTAGTGTCAACATCATGGAGGCTTATTTTCTGGTTAGCACAGACTCAATGAAGACACCTTCTGACATGTTCTATTTATAACAAATACAATCCTCTACGTTTGACCATTGAGATTGTGCAATGTTGAAATTACAACGATTTGTCATGAGGTCCCTTGATTAACAAAACAAAGTTAGGACGATAAACCAAAAATGTATATCGACACCGACCATACCGATCACTTATCGCAGGAATTTTGCTGATATCGTTCATAAGTAGCCTATACTAGAGAAATGCAAAGTTTGAAATGAGTTTTCTAATAAGGGTGATTGTTAAATGGGACAATTGATTGCTACAACCATCAAACTACTAAACTCAGCAAAAAAAGAAACGTCCTCTCACTGTCAACTGCGTTTATTTTCAGCAATCTTAACATGTGTAAATATTTGTATGAACATAACAAGATTCAACAACTGAGACATAAACTGAACAAGTTCCACAGACATGTGACTAACAGAAATTGAATAATGTGTCCCTGAACAAAGGGGGGGTCAAAATCTAAAGTAACAGTCAGTATCTGGTGTGGCTAACAGCTGCATTAAGTACTGCAGTGCATCTCCTCCTCATGGACTGAACCAGATTTGCCAGTTCTTGCTGTGAGATGTTACCCCACTCTCCCACCAAGGCACCTGCAAGATCCCAGACATTTCTGGGGGGAATGGCCCTAGCCCTCACCCTCCGATCCAACAGGTCCCAGACGTGCTCAATGGGATTGAGATCCGGGCTTGTCGCTGGCCATGGCAGCACAGAACGAGCAGTATGGCTGGTGGCATTGTTATGCTGGAGGGTCTTGTCAGGATGAGCCTGCAGGAAGGGTACCACATGAGGGAGGAGGATGTCTTCCCTGTAACGCACAGCGTTGAGATTGCCTGCAATGACAACAAGCTCAGTCCGATGATACTGTGACACACCGCCCCAGACCATGACGGACCCTCCACCTCCAAAATTGATCCCACTCCAGAGTACAGGCCTCGGTGTAACGCTCATTCCTTCTACGTTAAACGCGAATCCGACCATTACCCCTGGTGAGACAAAACCGTGACTCGTCAGTGAAGAGCACTTTTTGCCAGTCCTGTCTGGTCCAGCGACGGTGGGTTTGTGCCCATTGGCGACGTTGTTGCCGGTGATGTCTGGTGAGGACCTGCCTTACAACAGGCCTACAAGCCCTCAGTCCAGCCTCTCTCAGCCTATTGCGGACAGTCTGAGCACTGAAGGAGGGATTGTGCGTTCCTGGTGTAACTCGGGCAGTTGTTGTTGCCATCCTGTACCTGTCCCGCAGGTGTGATGTTCGGATATACCGATCCTGTGCAGGTGTTGTTACACGTGGTCTGCCACTGCGAGGACGATCAGCTGTCCGTCCTGTCTCCCTGTAGCGCTGTCTTAGGCGTCTCACAGTACGGACATTGCAATTTATTGCCCTGGCCACATCTGCAGTCCTCATGCCTCCTTGCAGCATGCCTAAGGCACGTTCACGCAGATGAGCAGGGACCCTGGGCATCTTTCTTTTGGTGTTTTTCAGAGTCAGTAGAAAGGCCTCTTTAGTGTCCTAAGTTTTCATAACTGTGACCTTAATTGCCTACCGCCTGTAAGCTGTTAGTGTTTTAACGACCGCTCCACAGGTGCATGTTCATTAATTGTTTATGGTTCATTGAACAAGCATGGAAAACAGTGTTTAAACCCTTTACAATTAAGATCTGTGAAGTTATTTGGATTTTTACTAATTATCTTTGAAAGACAGTGTCCTGAAAAAGGGAAGTTTCTTTTTTTTGCTGAGTTTAGTAGTAGTTTAAAGGATCATAACAAATAATAACTGGTGCACATTAATGTTATAAAACGTACCGTTCTATTTAACGTTATCACATCAATTCAGGCAATTTAGCACGATATGGATATATGTCTATATCACCCAGCTCTATAACAAAGTAACATTTGATTCAATCTAGTCAGAAGAGAACACAGGACTGAATAACAACCCTCCTAAGTCATTCAGTATTCACATAAGATGTTAAGATGTCTTGCACCCTGTAGGCTTACCTCCTCTCAACTTCTATCACTAGCAGTTCAGCTTTTAAAATGTCAGGACAATTAAGGACATTCTTAAATCCCTCATAAGTTAGTAGATGAGCCTATGGAACCCAGCCACACTCATGCTGAGTGACAATGCCAAAGGCAAACAATAGGCCTCAGAGAACTTCAGCAGTGCATGCATGGAGCATACCAAAGAAAATCCATTCTCTCACCCACCCCCTCCCGGACTATTTTCCACGTGGGCGGCAGCAGAGCAGAGGGGAGGAGAATCTTAGTCTCTCAACCAGTTTCAGAACTGAGCCATTTCAGTACAAACAGTAAAGCATTAGCTTTCTGGCTATAGCTCAGTCATTTCATATGGCTTCATGCGCCTCACTATCCTGCCTGGAGTAGATAGTCATTAGACAATCCAGATATCTTAGAAGGAGGTGCAGGGGGATAGACATTCAGCTCTCAAAGTTATTATCCATAATGAAAATGAAATACATATTTGCCGCCAATGTAATCTGGGTGTCAATTCAGGTGTCTACAGCCTTTGCAGAGTAGCTGGGGTCTGAACTCTTTATGATGCAGTCATTGCATCCAACTTTATTCATCAAGTTGAGATATGACAAGATTAACAGTGTGTTTAACAAAGTGTACACAGTTAAGCCCCATGTACAATTTGATAGTGAGGGTGAAAAGAGGGCACTGTCATTAGGAATATATCAATGAACAAGGTTTTATATTTCCAAGAGGAGTAGAACATAGTTGAGGCCCAATATTTTCAGTTTTAAACTAATGTTCATACATACAGTATATACTGTATCGTCATTTCCAAACACCCAACAACAAAAAAACAAGCGTATTATTTACAGGGTGAGGCTGTTCTTACCTAGCTTCAGCTCTCCAAAGTTACCACAGCCGATCTTCTTGCCCACACGGAAGTTGGGCCCCACCATGAGCACTCCGGAGGAGCCTGATCCCGAGGGGCGCGAGTGCCCGCTGCGCCCCTGACCCGCTTTGCTGCTGCGCGCCGGTCGCTCACCCTCTTTCTCCCCTGGGTGCTCCATGGCTCAAGGTGCCCCCAGAGGACCGGAGAGGGAATGGGAGGGTGTGCTACCTGACAGGGGCTGCTTTGCAGCTGGGCAAAGGGGCCGGGGCACCGGGCTCTGCCTCTGCCCGCCCCTGTCACTGTGACCTTGACATTGGGGTGGGAAGCGAGAGCTTTCACAGGTATCCTGGAAACGAGGGGAAAGGAAATGTCAGAAATAGTCTAATTTAAGTGTCCTGCTGAGATGAGCCATGCAGTGACTAGGTATTGAGAACCCATGACAACCCCACTGCAGGATAAAATAACTCTACAAAAAAATATAATATATATATACATATACACACACACACACACACACACACACACACACACACACTCTACCGGTCAAAAGTTTTAGAACACCTACTCATTCAAGGGTTTTTCTTTATTTTAACTATTTTCTACATTGTAGAATAATAGTGAAGACATCAAAACTATGAAATAACACATATGGAATCATGTAGTAACCAAAAAAAAAAAGAGTTAAACAAATCAAAATGTAATGTAATGTAATATTTGAGATTCTTCAAATAGCCACCCTTTATGACAGTTTTGCACACTCTTGGCATTCTCTCAACCAGCGTCACCTGGAATGCTTTTCCAACAGTCTTGAAGGAGTTCCCACATACGCGGAGCACTTGTTGGCTGCTTTTCCTTCACTCTGCAGTCTGACTCATTCCAAACCATCTCAATTTGGTTGAGGTCGGGGGATTGTGGAGGCCAGGTCATCTGATGCAGCACTCCATCACGCTCCTTCTTGGTCAAATAGCCCTTACACAGCCTGGAGGTGTGTTGGGTAATTGTCCTGTTGAAAAACAAATGATAGTCCAACTAAGCCCAAACCAGATGGGATGGCGTATTGCTGCAGAATGCTGTGGTAGCCATGCTGGTTAAGTGTGCATTGAATTCTAAATAAAATCACAGACAGTGTCACCAGCGAAGCACCCCCACACCATAACACCACCTCCTCAATGCTTTACGGTGGGAAATACACATGCGGAGATCATCCGTTCACCCACACCGCGTCTCACAAAGACACGGCGGTTGGAACCAAAAATCGCCAATTTGGACTCCAGACCAAAGGACAAATTTCCACCGGTCAAATGTCCATTGCTCGTGTCTCTTGGCCCAAGCAAGTCTCTTCTTCTTATTGGAGTCCTTTAGTAATGGTTTCTTTGTAGCAATTTGACCATGAAGGCCTGATTCACACAGTCTCCTCTGAACAGTTGATGTTGAGATGTGTGTGTTACTTGAACTCTGTGAAGCATTTATTTGGGCTGCAATTTCTGAGGCTGGTAACTCTAATGAACGTATCCTCTGCAGCAGAGGTAACTCTGGGTCTTCATGAGAGCCAGTTCCATCATAGCGCTTCATGGTTTTTGCGACTGCACTTGAAGACAAGTTCTTGAAATGTTCCATATAATAATAATAATAATAATATGCCATTTAGCAGACGCTTTTATCCAAAGCGACTTACAGTCATGCGTGCATACATTTTTTTTTTTGTATATGGGTGGTCCCGGGGTTCGACCCCACTACCTTGGCGTTACAAGCGCCGTGCTCTACCAGCTGAGCTACAGAGGACCATATTGACTGACCATGTCTTAAAGTAATGATGGACTGTTGTTTCTTTTTGCTTATTTGAGCTGTTCTTGCCATAATATGGACTTGGTCTTTTACCACATAGGGCTATCTTCTGTATACCACCCCTACCTTGTCACAACACAACTGATTGGCTCAAACGCATTAAGAAGGAAAGAAATTCCACAAATGAACTTTTAACAAGGCACACCTGTTAATTGAAATGCATTCCAGGTGACTACCTCATGAAGCTAGTTGAGAGAATGCCAAGCGTGTGCAAAGCTGTCATCAAGGCAAAGGGTGGCTACTTTGAAGAATCTCAAATATAAAATATATTCTGATTTGTTTAACACTTTTTTGGTTACTACATGATTCCATGTGTTTTTCATAGTTTTGATGTCTTCACTATTATTCTATTCTACAATGTAGAAAATAGTAAAAAATTAAGAAAAACCTTTGAACGAGTAGGTGTTCTAAAACTTTTGACCAGTAGTGTATATTCTGACCACTTCGACTATATTATTTATATTTACCGGGGAGTCCTTCATTTATACTTTCAGAAAAAAAATTCCCAGAACCCCATGATAATCCCCAGTTTGACAAACCTGCTGGACAGTTCAGATGTGTGTGCCATTCTGCACTATTCACAAGTTATTCACATAGGCCTAACACTTAGCCCCATCCTAGGGCTACGTTTGCATATTATTATCCTATGTTTTCTGCACACACAAAAGTCGAACACTTTATTTAGCAAATCTGTGATATAATATTTTAAAATGTCATTTTTCCTCATTTCAAGCAGTTGCTCCATAAATATTTCATGACTCCCAGTCTCAACTGTCTTCACAACAGGTTTGACTGCCATCTCAAGATGAATGGTGTAATTCGCAAGACAAATATCACCAAATTCAAAATCAGGCCACCCAAACACAAACAGTCTCTGCAGAAAAGACGCGATATGACGTCCCATAAATCTCAGATTACAAGCAGGGGCTACTTTATCAGCCCCCCCCCCAGGAGATTGCTGGTAGTGGCTATTACGGGAACAACCTCCAAGCTAGTATTTGCTTAATTGATCTTATTCCACCTCAGAAGTACAGAGGCAGTGCAGATAGGCGAGAGAATTTTCAAAGTCCACCTGCCAAGGTCACGAAGAGGAATGAGAGAGATGTGGCAGCATTAGTCGCCAGTCCCCTTAACCTCCCTATTCAATGCAAAGGCTGTGGCTTGGGACTCTGTTGGTGTATGGCAACACAGGGAACCACAAACGCAGCAGAGCAGGCCTTATGAATAGCTACCTGTCCCTGGGGATTCTCCCTTAGAAATTCAATGATTAAACCTAAACTGATTTAGCAGCAGTGAAATTGGTATGTCAGTAACACACTGGCCATAAGTGACAGGGAGGTGAGGTACTGTGCAACAGCAACACGATTAAGAACAGTGGTCATTGCCAATTACAACACAGCCAAAAGGTGCACATCTGAAGAGTGTAAATATTTTTAAGCTGAAAACCTCACATTTGTTACGAATCAGGGCCTTGACATTTTTGTGTTTCCTGTTCCTATTCGTTTTCCATTTAAGTCTTGTTTGTCCAGAGATAAGTGCAAAGTTTCAAACTGCACATATTAAAGGAATCCTATTAATTATGCTGTCAACATTAGCCTTAACATTCAACTGTAGATCGTGCACCTTGACAACACAAGCTACAACTACAAACCAGGAACTGTGTTCTAAATATATCCACTAGTGACCTTGTCAAAGTGACACAGACCCTGTGTTTTTTTGGTCTGTGGAGGCAAACTTACAGGACCTTGGCACTAATGTGGAGGGTATTACTGCCATGAAGATAGTCACTGAAACATTATTCAAATGTGACCTTTTAGAAAATAAAGCATATTTGTAACTAATATGCCTATGTAGGCTACCTATATACTGTACTACCTACAGTGAGAGTTTAGGTTATTGTCTACAGCCATTATAGTGGATAGGCCTACATACTAGGTTAATATATTATTTCCCATACATTAATGAATTAGCCTACATCACACATTTTGGGGAATTGACCTAGCCTCAGTAATCATGATGGTACAGTGGGGGGAAAAAGTATTTAGTCAGCCACCAATTGTGCAAGTTCTCCCACTTAAAAAGATGAGAGAGGCCTGTAATTTTCATCATAGGTACACGTCAACTATGACAGACAAATTGAATTCCAGAAAATCACATTGTAGGATTTTTAATGAATTTATTTGCAAATTATGGTGGAAAATAAGTATTTGGTCACCTACAAACAAGCAAGATTTCTGGCTCTCACAGACCAGTAACTTCTTCTTTAAGAGGCTCCTCTGTCCTCCACTCGTTACCTGTATTAATGGCACCTGTTTGAACTTGTTATCAGTATAAAAGACACCTGTCCACAACCTCAAACAGTCACACTCCAAACTCCACTATGGCCAAGACCAAAGAGCTGTCAAAGGACACCAGAAACAAAATTGTAGACCTGCACCAGGCTGGGAAGACTGAATCTGCAATAGGTAAGCAGCTTGGTTTGAAGAAATCAACTGTGGGAGCAATTATTAGGAAATGGAAGACATACAAGACCACTGATAATCTCCCTCCATCTGGGGCTCCACGCAAGATCTCACCCCGTGGGGTCAAAATGATCACAAGAACGGTGAGCAAAAATCCCAGAACCACACGGGGAGACCTAGTGAATGACCTGCAGAGAGCTGGGACCAAAGTAACAAAGCCTACCATCAGTAACACACTACGCCGCCAGGGACTCAAATCCTGCAGTGCCAGACGTGTCCCCCTGCTTAAGCCAGTACATGTCCAGGCCCGTCTGAAGTTTGCTAGAGTGCATTTGGATGATCCAGAAGAGGATTGGGAGAATGTCATATGGTCAGATGAAACCAAAATAGAACTTTTTGGTAAAAACTCAACACGTCGTGTTTGGAGGACAAAGAATGCTGAGTTGCATCCAAAGAACACATACCTACTGTGAAGCATGGGGGTGGAAACATCATGCTTTGGGGCTGTTTTTCTGCAAAGGGACCAGGACGACTGATCCGTGTAAAGGAAAGAATGAATGGGGCCATGTATCGTGAGATTTTGAGTGAAAACCTCCTTCCATCAGCAAGGGCATTGAAGATGAAACGTGGCTGGGTCTTTCAGCATGACAATGATCCCAAACACACCACCCAGGCAACGAAGGAGTGGCTTCGTAAGAAGCATTTCAAGGTCCTGGAGTGGCCTAGCCAGTCTCCAGATCTCAACCCCATAGAAAGTCTTTGGAGGGAGTTGAAAGTCTGTGTTGCCCAGCGACAGCCCCAAAACGTCACTGCTCTAGAGGAGATCTGCATGGAGGAATGGGCCAAAATACCAGCAAGTGTGTGTGAAAAC